GTCTTTTAGTGTGAATTATAATTGTGTTTTAAACACGGTGTACTTAAAAAGACACGGTGTAACACAACAAAGAAAACTTCACGAAATTTTTATGTGACCGAACGGCACAAAAAAACAAAAAAATTAGTGTGATGTGCATTTGACCGCACCTACCTATGGTTATGTATTTTGACCCGCAGAATTCGAATTTGAAGTCAGTTTCGCCAACACGCCTCCTAGATTTCGAGAAAACTTCAAAAAAAAAAACCGTCTTTTATTGCCGATTTTCGCTATTTTTTACGGTACGTACGGTATTACAAATCATTGTGGGATATGTTCTGTCCAAGCGAAAAATCCAAAAAATATGGAAGTTTCGACAAGTAGTTTCTTCAAATAATTTCTATACAAATACTATGGTCTTGACGAATTTACTATTTCGTGAATTATTCGACCATAGCTACGACCTGTACAAGGTCACTAGGAAAGTTAATTTTTACCGTTACACAGTGTACTTATAAATCGATATAGAAATTTTCAAATTTTATATAAAAAAAGGTACTCAAGTAGAATTACAACTTAAGCTACCCAGCCAGCAAAAAAACTGAAAATGGATCCGAAAAAGGAAAAAAGTGGACGAAACGCGGATTTTTTGTCCGCTTACCGATTCCATTTTCGATCCGTAATCTCAGTGTGCGGCAGAAACGTATGTATGCACAGAAAAATACCGAAAATGGTTGTGAAACGGAAACGCCTGACGGCATTCGAACAAGGCACCTTGTGAAAGCTGAGAATAGGGATGGCAAAGTAGACTTCGACTTTCGACCAAAATCGACTTTTTACTCCTGAAAGTCGAATTTTAGTGATCGACTTTAAGTTTATGGAAGTCGACTGAAGTCGACTTTTCACTTTCGACTCTCGACTTTTTTTAAATTTATTTGCCAATAAAAACTGATCTTCCAACAAGCTCGCGGAGTGCTGTTTGGTCGTATTTAAAAAAAAAAATTGTCAATAAAACTGAAGTGAAATGTGAAAAGTGTGGTAGCGAAATGAATTTTAATGACAGTACAACAGTACAAATCATTTAAGAGCAGCGCATCATGCTGAATAACTGGAACAACTTTCAAAATTTTTAAAAATCCTTTAGGGTCTGTTTTTTTTTTACCTAGCATTGAATTTCACTAAATTACAGATTATTCTAAAGACCACTAGTAAATCATGATATTTTTGGCGTATTCTGACTCCTATATTTATAGCTAATATATAAGTTAAATGCAGAGTATACTTAATACATTTTCTTTTTATTAAAAAAGTCGAAAAAAGTCGAACAAAGTCGACTTTTCTTCGTGGATCGGTCGACTTTTAAAGTCGACTGTACAGAGTCGATCGAAAAGTCGAAAGTCGACTTTCTAGTGAAGTCGAACAACCCTAGCTGAGAAGTACTAGCACGCTACTCTGCACGCTCAGTCATTGCCGACTACGTATCCTATAGGTACATGCTTTCAAATGTTCAGCTTGAACACACAAAATAAAATTATCGGTTTCAAGTCAAATGATCAATTTCGAACGTTTTCCGGTTGCGAAAAGGAACGAATATTGTAGTTGTTTTCTGTACGTTTCCGGATACGGAAAATCTACGAGAGCGCTCTGTCAGCAAAATTTATGTTTCTCAGCTGGCTGGATCTGTGTGCGTGTTGTATTCGATATTCGACTGCAGTGGTTGCTCATACGCCCCGCCCACAAAAACAGTTCGGTGGCCTTTTCAATGTTAGCCTTGAGTTGAGTGGTTCTTTTGTTTTTTGTTAATATCTCTACTCAAAGCTAACATTGTTGGAAGAATGCATTTTTAATTGTTGAAAAATAATGTCGCTTTCCAGCAAACTAGCAAACGACTAGGCACTTCAAATATCAATGGATAATGTAGGCAAAACAAAAATGCGAGTAGTTATTGGACGGGACAAGTATGTACATAAATATGTAAACAAACAGAGAGAAAAGAAGGAGTCTAGTGTATAACCAAACGAAACGAATGAAGAGATAGATAAAAAGTGTAATAATAATAATATTATACTCACGCCTGCCTGTTTCATTTGTTGACATTCGTTGTTGTTGCCGATCGCTTGACCTTTAACAAGTTTATGACATTTCGCGAAAATCATGCAAGCAGATTCACTAGCAGCAAAATTTTTTTTTTCTTGAAAAGGTAAAACATAAAATTTGAAGACGCCCGAAGTTGGATGAAAATATTAAAGAAAATTCCTACGCGTTTCCAAACTGAACAAAGAATTCGGTAGACCTCTGCAAAGGTTCGAAAATAAAGTTTTGTTTTGCTTTTCCGAAGATAGAGAACGTAATAGGATCTAATGCAGTTTGATGACAAATTGCTGACGCAAAATATTTTTAAACCTCTAAACGATGTACCGTTATCCGGTATCCGCGTGACCCGCCAAAGAATTTAGCTTTAATTTAAAAGAAAGATTTCGGTTTGAAATATGCACTTTTTTTTTTTTAATTTGGAGGTGGATTTTGCGCAAAAATACAGCTGAAGGCCCAGCGCGAGTTTAATTTTTCTTCGCGAAAATGCTAATTTCGCCCCATTTTTAAATGGCCCCCGGAAAGCCTGTAGAAGGGGCAGGGAGGAGAAGGATGGCTTTTCTTAAATTTTATACTATGCTCTTTTTATTTAGTGTAGTTTTTAGGTGATACACCCCTTCTTCCTCCGCTCCCCACCAAAACATCTTGGTACAAATAACTGAACGAACATTTCCCACGCACAACATTAAATCCTCTGATATATTGGCAAGATAGCTCACAGTTTTTTTTACAATTTATGAACCTTCAAAAACTTTTTTTTTGGCAAAAATTTTGAAATGAAACCACCTTCTTTTTTGTATCACATATCTTATCAATAAAACGAATTTAAATTTCAATCATTCATGAATTTCATTTTCCCCGAACCGGTTTACTTTTCACTTTTGGTAACCGTGGTTTTACTATGGGCGGATGACAAATTTTCGGGTGAATTTTTTTTTTCCGGTGAAACTCAGAATAAGACAGACAATTTTTTTTTGTTTAAATGTAATTATAGGCCGACACTCGCTTACGCAAATATCTTCATACATACATACATACATACATACTATTTATATTCCCAATGACTAAGCAATACCAGATATGTTTCGTGTTTGTTTATATCGAATTTATCAATTCCCTGAGCGCGTATAACGTTGATAAGCCAACGAACTCGTCATAATTTTTGAGACTCTAGAGACTCCCTTGTATACCCCATACGAAAGAGGGTAGGTCACGTTTAGGACGATACCAAGATTCATTCACTTTAATGAAAATACATAATTAAAAAGCTATATATATATATTTTTTTTAATGGAGTCATAAATTTATTTGAGATTTTCTTCACTCTGCGGTTTGTTTACATGGTTTTTGTGATGTAGATAAATGATAGATAATTGGCGACAATCGTCACTCATGTGCATTTTGGTGATTGGTGACTTCCGGAAAGTGAAAGTTATACGTATTTCAAATTGATTTCCCTTTTTAAGTTTTATTTTCCAAATAAGGGGTATGAATTACTTGTACTAATGCCCAGTTAATTCTTCACATATGTATACGTATACGTATATATATTTAGTAATTGATAAGCTATCCGCCGAGTTCTAAAGTTGAGTGCCAATATATTTCTAATGTTTCAGTTGATTTTCGATCGCGCAGCTCACACAACACAACACAAAACAATGTCCAATGAATTATTTCACAGTACCATAACGGCACTGTAATTGCATGACGTCATCAAATTGCACGTTATCAAGTGATTTTGAGCGCACAAACAGTATTTGAAAGTGTTGTGATAATTAAGTTTTTTACACTGCGACTCTTAATTTTCGAATATTTGTATAACAACCAAGCCATGTCGCGACACCGTGATGAGGAGACACAAATTTTAATTACGCCTTCAAGCGAGGATGAAGTATCTGTTGTAACGGTACCCTCGCCTACGCTTGCTCCAGGCGCGCGTAAGAGCAGAGCCGTTGAACCGTCAGTATTCTTAATATTTACAGCTATCGCTATCGCCAGTAAGTTCCTCTGTGCAAGAGAAAACTAAATTCGAAATGTGTTAACTCTTTACGTGATTCTCAATGAAGGTAGCGTGTTGCAAAATCAGATACTTTATCTAACCTGTGTAGGAGTCTACGAACACAATGAGACTGAGTGCCAGCCGCTGATGGGCATTGAGCCGGAGTCTAATATTTCAAAGGCGAGTAAAATGGTTACAAGAAATGGAAAAATTTTGTGTTTTCAGTTTTGTGTTCACAACAAACAGCTACTAAAATCTAAAACAAAAATAAAAAAATACGAGTTATAGCATAGACAGAGAGCAACGTTGGACTAGCGCCAAATTATTTTTATTATTGATACAGAAATATGTAACGGTAATATCGTTTATTTTCCAGGCTATTGAAACGAAAGTGCAGCCCTATGTGGCCCGTATTATTATGACGAATTCATTGATCAGCAGTATTTTACCAGCATTTCTTAGCTTGTTTATTGGACCTTGGTCTGATAAATTTGGACGCCGACCCATACTTATAGCAACTTATGGCGGTAATTCAAACACTAACTCTTTTTTTCAATTAAATTTTGCAAAAAAATATTAATACACCAAAAATCTTCACTACACAGCGGCATTGTGTGGACATGCAATAACAACAATCCTGGCAGGCATATCAATGGCAATGCCAATAAATCCGTGGGTTTACGTTATATCGTATATACCGTTAGCAATAACCGGTGGCACTTGTGCCCTGATAACAATGGTGTTTTGTCTGGTGTCCGATGTGTCCGATGAGGGTGGCAAAGCTAGACGGTTAGTGTTCACTTTAACATAGTTCTTAGCGTATATATATATATATATTAGGGCGGGTCAATTTTTTTTTCGACATCGTTCCTAGCAGATTCGGATTCTACATAAAATTCTTAGAAAAAAAAGCCCTTTTTTAGCGAGGCTAACGGACAGCAATTCATTTTTATATATAAGATATCTTCTTTTAAAAATGCGCAGGCTCGAAATTAACTTTAGAGCTATGGTCTGGAGGAATTTTTTTCTTAGAATTTTATGAAGAATCCGAATATGCTAGGAACAATGTCGAAAAAAATCGATCCATACAAATTGACCCGCCCTAATATATATATATATTTAATTGAAAGATGCCTATAATCTATTATCATGCCATTTTGGGGAATCACAGTTTGTTCTTAGTGGAGGGCGCTTTGGGCATCGGTACTGTTGTCGGCAACTTAGTGGCTAGTAAAATTTTAGCTGGAACTGGAACCATCGGCGTTTTTGGAATCGCCACCGCACTCGACATGTTTGCATTACTCTATTTGCTCATATTTGTTGGTGAAAGTCTGAAGTTGAAACACGAACGAAAAACAGTAAGTACTTTTGAAGATGCATTTTTTTGAAATTTTCCACTAGCAGATTGATATTTTGTGGCTACATTTACTTTTTAGTCGAAGCTACGTGAGTTCTTCAAATTCGATTTAATAAAAGATCTAGTGAAAAGTTGTGTGAAGCGCAGACCAAACTATGATCGCGCCATTATTTGGTGTATAATGTTCACCTTAGTCATCACTACTTTTGTTATGCGTGAGTATAGATCATATACAGTGCCGAACAGAAGTATTGGCACAGTGAATTTTTCGCAATATATGCAAAGTTCTTTATCATAATTTATTTTCGATAAGTTTTTGTAGAAATATTGTTCATTCTACACCAGAAAACATAATAATAAAATCTCTAAACTTTGTGCAAAACTCAGGAAAATTCATTAAATTTGCACACTTATTTGCAACTTAGAAAATTTCTAAGTATGCAGTTTTATAGCCCATTCAAATTTAGAATAACAAAGTGCAAGTTTGAAGTCGCTAGAAAATCGCATTGATTTTTGGTAATTTTTTTTCACGCAAGTTCTTCCATACAAAGTGCAACACCTTCCACTAAAAAAATTGCCAAAAATCAACGCAATTTTTTAGCAACTTTGCACTTGCACTTTGTTATACTAGATTTGAATGGGCTATAAAACTGCGTACCTTGATTTTTTTTTTTAATCTGAATAAAAAGTTGCAAATTAGTGTGCAAATTTAAAGAATTTTCCTGAGTTTTGCACAAAGTTTAGAGATTTTATTATTACGTTTTCTGGTGTAAAATGAACTATATTTTTATAAAAAATTATCGAAAATAAATTACAGTAAAAAACTTTGCATATATGGCGAAAAATTCACTGTGCCAATACTTTTGTTCGTCACTGTACATACCTACTTTTTATGTCATAAGAAACTTAATTATAAACAGCAAATATTAACCTAATTACATCCACTCTTTTTTATTATAGAGGGTGAGTCCAATGTATTCTATCTGTTCTTGCGCAACAAATTCAATGCCAATCTCTCGCAATTTACCACCTACAATGCCGTCACAATCTGCATCAAAATGGTTGGATGTGGCATTATTTTGATTTTATTACGAATAGTAAGTGTGTTCACTCACAGGCAAAATTTTGAAAATAATTACAAGAAAATTTCCTAAAAATGCACACTCTCATTTGCAGCTTTTCAAGGTGTCTTTAACTATTGTGGCGATTATGGGCTTAGCCGGCTGCTTTATGGACAGTACGATACGCGCGCTTGCCCAAAACTTTTGGCAGATGTATGTGGCCGCCATAATGGGTTTCATGAGCGGCGTAAATAATCCTATGCTGCAGGCGGTACTCGCTGGCTTAGTAGAAGCAACGGAGATCGGTGAGTCTGAACTATAAATTACCTAGATTAGGTTGGGTTAACTTGGCTGACCCGTGAGATCTAATATTGGCCATTAGTGGGTCCTTAGTATTTACAAGAAAGTGCATAGACCTTAAAATGCATAACTTTTTATCGAGTTTTACGATTTTGTCTCACCTCGCACTTAAATTCATCCAGAAATCGATACATGTTTCTATAGGTAGAAACAAATTGTTTCAAAATAAAGTAATTTGTTTTGTGTTTTATAAAAATCCCTAAAATTTTTAATATATTCTTGAATGTTGTAGTCAGCCAATAGTTATAACACATTGAGCCTTTATATTTTTTTAAATTCCATATGGCATGAAAAAGAGTCTCCCTATATTAAAAATACGATAGACATTGCGCATTGCTAAAAACTCTTTGAACTAGAAGCTGTGGTTTTTTTTTGTTTTTGAATTGTAGCCAACGCATGCAAACACCAATCTGAAAGCTTTGGGTTTTTTTTTTAACTTCCTACCCAAAATATTGCAAGCGAAGGTAATTACGAATCAAACCAATCAACAGCCGAGCGTGACACTACCTTCGTGAAATCAGAAGGCAGACTGAATTAGAGATGCCGTTTTTAAATGGATTCATTCGATTGTCGATTAATCGAGCCTTTCCGATTAGATTTTTTGTTCCGCAACAAATATTGTGCAAATTTTCATTTAAATTTTGCACTGCCCAGTTACTCTTTTTATAAAGAATTTGAATAGCCCATTGAATTTTAGTATATTATGGGGCAAGATGCTAGGATCCACCGTTGATTTTGCTAATTTAACTTCCAACCAACCAACCAACCAACTGCCACTAAGGAATTTTTACTTCGAAAATATAAAATTTAAGCAATTGATTAATTTTCGCCTTTCAGGCAAAATCTACGCGGTGATATCCTCGCTACAAACCATTTCACCTTTGATATCAGCCCCCGTATACACGGGCATTTACAGTGCTTCGCTGTTAACAAACCCTGGAGCCTTCTACTTTCTGAGCAGTGCCATTTATCTCTTGTGCTTTGTGCTCATCAGGTAAGCCTTTTTTTTGACATTAAATTTAATGGAAAGTATGTATGTATAATACTAATTTATTTGTTTTCTTTTATTTTTAGTGGCATGTATGTATTGGAACGACTTGCCGCTAGATCTCAGAGGAGACAAAAAGCCGTTGCAGTGGAAACATAAGTGAAATTATATTAATTAAATATGGCTTTGTAATAGTTAAGATTATTAAAAAAAAAAAAACTTAAGCCAAAAATCGCCAAATTTGTATCAGCCGCAGAAGCTTCGCAAACCTAACTCTCTATTTAGTTAGTTAAGCTTTGTAATACCTTTTTATTTGTTTTGTATGTGCTACCACTAGTTGTGGCGTGGTTTAAGCCAAGTTTACAATAGGGTGTCTGCGTATGTACACATGTATTTATGTATAGTAGTATTTAAATATGCAAGTATTAAAAGTAAAGATATATTAAGCTAAAATAAAACGATGCCAGATTCAAGCGAACTTATTATTTTTCTTCCTGTCTGGCGCTGTAACCGCCTAGCGATTTTTCAATAAGACGCCATATGCGTATATGGCAGGATCACCCTTCGTGTGGATTGGGAAGAAGAGCTTCAGTAGCTTTGTTGTTTCTCAGTCAATAAATTGCGATTCATATCTCGTCATAGTCGGGTGTTGGGGCACCGACTCCGTCGTCCTCGACTTGGGACTCCACTTATTTACCAAGCTCCGGACATCGCTAACTAGGTCGCCATGTTTTTTCCCACAGAAACTTGCCGTGGTCTAAAGGCCTGCGTAAGTCGTTTAACTTTCCGATAGAAATTTCGTTTGTATTTTTTCTGTCGACCAGCATGTCAAGCTCTTTCCACTTGCATATTTTGGCGTTTATTTATTATACATAAATTTAGGGGTAGGCACTCGAAGTGTTACCAATTAAAAATGCTATAAATTTGTAACAGGGCGTAAAGTTAAATCAAAAAATCTACCTTAAAAATGCTTTATTATTTTGTGAACGAAAACAATTAGTTAGAAATCATTGGACGTTTCAATAAGTCTCGGCAACATCGCATAAAAGACATTCGTGCTGACTCGATGCTATTATTCGCATTTTTATGACGAAAGGTTCGATGCGTTACTGAGCCTTGCTTCCGGCACATACCTTGGAGTGCGACATACCGCATAGTCATGCTTCCGCCGACCATTGGTGGTCACCTGGCACCCTTTTCACCGGATGTATGCCTCTTCCTCTGTCCATGACTTCTAGGCTTCGATCCTCTGGCTGCACAACACTTGGCACATCTCGCCAACCACTCATCAAATGACTAGGTAACCCTCTCCAGGGTTTTCTTAGTTCCCATATGCTCACCATTTGGACCTCTGTGGAACTCGCGGAGAATGTCCGGAACCTTCGCCTTTGGAACAACCATTAGATTCCGGTTGCATACGCCTCGCTCTCCCATATCCGATGTAAGCAACCACATATCAGCTTCATGCTGCCCCACTGTGCCCAGTATGTCTTTGCGGTTGTGCTTTCCGCTGACATTTCCTCCCAGGTCGGACGCTTCCTCAGCTGCAGTCCTAGCATCACAACTGCTAAATCCGGGTCCTCAGGCTGAAAATTGCCTACCGGACATGTATAACCTCATCCTGAGCCTCAGGCTTTACTGCTTGCCCCTGCATCCTCTACCGATTATGGCCGTTTCCTGGACGCTTCTCAGCGCGCGCACAGCTTCCACCGCTGGCGCCAATTCCGACCAGCGGCTTATCACCATTGGAACGTGGTTAGGTGGCTCCCTACCTGTCGGAAACACTGCCTGGCTTTCCATGACCACTTCCTTGATGTGACTTCCCTTTTTCACTGAGTTGGCGGAACCGTCACGCTTTCCCGTCATGGCTGAACAGCTTCTGTCTTCCGCTGAAACAACTCCATCTCAATCACAACAAACCGCTTCCGTTTCAGGTACAATCTGGCTTCCTCTAAGAGCAACCGTCTGCGGCAGTACTGGTTGTCGCAACCAACCCTAAGTGGCACTTTTCTGTCGCGATATGTCAGTATCATTCCCTGAAGGCAAATCTTCACGCCTTGGCCAAGTAGAAAGTCCACGCCGATGGTGGCTTCATCCACAATGTCTGCCACTATAAACTTGCTGTACGAGGCCACACCCCAGATTATTTCCTCGCATGATGCTTCTACTAACACTTGGGAGTGCTCACCAGTGCCAGTCGGCAACTTTGCTCCAGGTACTGGCCTTATATACCAAGTGGCTAAATCAGGTGAAAAATTAAAAAAGTTATTTTTTCGTAGCTTACTACATATATAAATCCTCATCATCGCAGGCCTGTGTAATTCATCGCAATTCCGCCTTATATATTTACATACATATTTGAGGTTACTTACTTATACCCGATAAGAACTTCTCACTAAATTTAAACTTTTGTGATAAAAAAAAACAAAAATTTATTAAACAATAACAAGCAAAGACCCCCAGGATAGATTAGTAAGAATTTATGATATGTAAATAATTAAAAACGCAGAGGCATTTTCTTAACAACAAATCAATGCCACTTGTTAACCACTTACCATGCCATTTAAGAATACAGTTATGAGCAGAAAAGGGTTTCCTTCATAAAATTTTGGCTCGGCACGTGTGTAGGTAGAACACATATTCGAAAACACGCACGAACATGTACGGCCCTGCACGACATAACGCGATTGGGACGGATTACCTGGAATCGCACCAAAAGTATTAGCTTTAACGAAAGAATGAAGCATAGCTATTATTTCTTTTACACAAGAAAAGTTTCATTATAAATTTCTTGTTCTGAAGATTAGAAGCCCATACATACACACAGCGACAACAAAATATGTGGCAGCACCTTCAATCATGCCAAAAGAAATCGACCGTCGTGCAAGAAACATTGATTTTTATTAATTTGATTCGAATCCTTACAATAAAATTAGGCACGTATATAAAGTCCATAAAATATACCAATAAAAATTTGGTGCTTTTTCAAATTCAAAACTTGGCAATACTGCCTTTTGTTCGATGCTTCCTCTTGCTTCTTGTCGAGTTCGTCTTGCTCTCTCATTCTGGTATTTTTTGACGTCACGGCCAGTTGCTCTCAGCTCGATTGGCGCAATCTTGTATTCTATCATTGATAACAATGACTTTCTAGTTAGAGAATATAATCGCGAAGAAAAAAAAAAAAAAATGCACCAATCGAAGATATATCCTACAAATTGATTTAAGCAAAAAAAAAAACATTGAGCTAACATTTTTTTGAGTTATGCCTCTGTGGGATATATAAAAGCACTTCACACGGGTAGTGATAAATACTACCTGAAACCTTCGGAAAACCCCCCTCATTATACATAAGTGAGCATATTTAATTCATTTTTAATCAGATATGGTAGCAAGTAATTTTTAGCAAAAAAAAAACCGACTTCAACTCCCATATAAAAAAAAATATATATATATATATACATCTCATGATCCACTAATCGGATCTCAACCAGATTAGTATGGGACCACCTCTGAGACACTACCTTTCCGATGCAAAAAGAATTATCGAAATCGGTTGACGTGGTCCAAAGTTATGCGGTAACATACATAAAAAATATTCCGACGAACTGATAACCTCCTCCTTTTTTGGAAGTCGGTTAAAAACTAGTGGACATTTCACAAAACAACAAACATGTGTATGGGATTTTTGAAGGTTAAATTTTAGTTTAAAAGTAATTACCATCCACAAAAATATTGCATTTATATATGTAGGTAAATAGTAAATAGTAAACACATTTCATACAAAATCACTGTTTTCATTCCATGATTAAATTATTAATTATTAAATGATTAAATAATTAAACCAAATAGATCAATGCCAGTTCATAAAAACCGTAGTACAATATGTCCCCGTCCCTGGTCGGCATGCAATGGAGAACCTATCAGCGCATTTCTGCAATAAAAGATCTTTTTATAAAAAGCCAACAACTGTGCCTGCACGCTAATAACTTGTATCTGCACAGTGCTGTAAATACATATATATACATACATATGTATGTATAGACGTATATGTCAAGCATCGTAAAACTTGAGTGCCATTTATTGCGATGAATGACAAGCAATATTAAAAATTTTCATTAACTACATATGTATGTATGTATAGATGTATGCACACATACATACGGTGGCGAAAATGTAAATAGGGAGAAGAAATTTTTGCAAATTTTGGCTATGTTTATTATTATTATTTTTTTTTGAAAATATAGCTTACTGTCTAAAACAAATCCCGTAAATCGAGATTTCAAACTTTATAGAACATTTATAAAAATTCCAAGAATTTTAACAAATACTCACCAAAATTTTAAACTTCTTTATCCGATTTTTTAGAATTCTTTTAAGTATGCGCTTTTTGTAGCCCATTAAGTTTTAGTATAGTAAAGTGCAAGTTCGCAGTAGCTAGGACTTACTTACCATTGATGGTTGGCATTTTTTTGTTCACGCATTTTCTGCCATACAAAGTATGTTCGAAAATTTTTTTTCTATGAAGAAAATGAGCAACACCTTTCACAAAAAAATTCCAAAATCAACAGTAAGTACTATCTACTCTAAACTTATACTTTATTGCACTAAAATTGAATACGTTACATACAAAAAAAAACTCAACATTTTGATGAAACTTGGTCGAATTTTCTTAATTTTTATACAAAGTTTGACTTACATGGTTTTTGTTATATAACATTAAGTAAACGAAAGGAAATAGCCAAATATAATTATATTTATATTTTCGCCACTGTACATATGTATGTATGTATGTATAACATAATATGCGTCAGAAATTTGGAAATTTATTTTAAGAACAATTAAATCAAGGAAATATTTTAACTATTTTAACATATTTATTTCTGATATTGTTCTGGCGCTTTATGTAGCGTAAAGTATACTAAATAACAGGCGTTTGCATAAGTCTTCGATGTTTTTGCAAAACCGCCTTTCTTCCGGCACTCAAATTTTACAGGAGCAAAAAAACGGTTTATCCTTTAAAGGCAATGTATGATAGGCGGTATTTTCTATAGCTATCATTTTACAAATCTGTTGTTTTAATGACGATTTAACGATTTTTATGCATAAATCTCGATGCCTGGAGTTCAGGGTTACCAAATCAAATTTTTTCCATAACTGCGATTTAGGCGATTTCGCAACTGGTCGATGGGCGGTTTTGCAAAAACATCGACGATATGTACATATGTATGTATGCATATTAGGGCCGAGTAATTAAATTTCGAAAAAAGTGTTTCCCATATTAGAATTCTAGGTTCGTAATTTTTGGTATATAGATTGTTCGCCACTTTTGCATAGAATGAATCGTAGAATTTTAATTTACACTTTCTTCCAAAATTTCGCTCCGCCCTAATGTTCATAGTTCAGCGAAGAGTTACATTCAGGGACGGGACCCGGATGAAAAATTTGGTCGGTTCGGTTCAGCGGTTGGAACGGTTTTTGCACTTTTGCATTGGTTCGTCAAAGCGGTTTTTTTGGTCTTTGAACCGGGGTTTCGGTTCTGTTCAACGGTTCGAAAAACAAAAAAAAAAAATAACGCGCAAGTTTAAATGTCAAGTGTCAAGTGCAACAGCACGCAAGGTTAAGGGTCAAGTGTCTGTCAAATGAGATGAGATGAGATGATATTGTCACATGGTAAACAAACATGGTAGGTATTACCATGTTTAACAAAAAGAAAAAAAAAGTGAGTACATTTATCTATTGAAAATTTGTTGAAACGAACCTTTAAGCCTTTAGGTAAGTGGTTCGGTTTTCGGTTCGGATCAAACATTTGTGGAAAGTTTCGGTTCGGTTAAGGGTTCAGTTAATTAATAGAAAAAACGGTTCAAAACCGGTTCACGTCCCTAGTTACATTTAAATTTTCAACCGCTCTATTTAGGCTTTGAATTTGCGTTCTGATCGTCTGAAAAGCAAGTGTTCATCAAGAAGTATCAGCACATACAAACTTTATTTATTTACATGTTTATCAAAAAATGGCACGGGTGTAAAAGGAAGCCTTTAATAGAAACAATTAGGACGGAGTACCCACCTACTTATGGAAAAATTTAAACAACATAAAAAAATTTAAAAAATCGAAATGTTAAAAAGTAGCAAATTGGATATCAAAATAAAAGTAAGTTTATAAAAAAAAAACTACGTGTTTAGTATTACACAAAATTGAAATTTAAATTAATTAAATTAAATTAGTTAAATGTGTAAAGTATTGAAATATATTCGGCTAATGAAAATTATTTCAAATATTTTAACTAAACACATATACATAAAGACATATGTATGTGATATATTTTAAAATGGTGATGTCTCCTATTCAAAAATTAAAGCTAGTTGAATGTTTCAAATATTTGGTGTGTACGTACATAGCTACATACCTAACTCGCTCAGAGCCCAACTCCAACGTTTCTTATGGCTCAGTTATGCATAAATACTGAGCGTTGCATGAGAGTTATCTGTTAAATGAGATTTGCGTGTAAGCGGTTACCCTACGCATAGCACTTCACAGGTAAAAGTCTGTTGGGTTTTGATTTTTATTAAAAATGGTATAGCAGTGCAAAGTATATTAGAATTGATAGCAGTTATATGTATGGACGTTTCTTAAGTAGAATTGATAACAGTTCTATTGAAATAGCCTTCATTATCAAGAACATAGCACTTCAGTTTGTTGAAGCGTTGTACATTCTTCTTGATAGACTTTTGTTTACGTTTTAGTAAAACGAAGCGGATAAGAATTACAATTCCGCATATACAAGATCAGAGGATCGTACGATCCTACCTACCTACATACATATGTACATATGTGTACATATGTCCATAAATAATCATATCATCTCGCATAAATACTTACTATGCAGAAGTTATCGCCCATCATAAATACATCGCGCTACTGATTATTAAGTTAAGATAACCGTCGCATTTACTATCCGAAGAGCTGAAATGCTGCAAAGTGGAATTTAACTAGCCAGTTCAGTTGCAAGTTTAATCGAGCATACTCGTACAAATCCACCGGTGAAGCCTAAATTTTTATTTTTTTACAACTACTTGGCTGGAACGCTATATTGATTCATATATGTATATATGTGCATATTTATAGATATATACATATATATATATATATATATACGGTATGTGTCTATGTATATAAGCAAATTAGATAAGATTGCAACAATTTCTGCAGAATCACGCAATATAAATCGAAAAAGTCTCTTCTATCAACGCACTGACTTGAACCTCAGCTAAAAAGGATCAAATTTAAAAATGGTGTCTCCAATTGTGTCGGATGAGGACGAAAAACACATGATGCAGACACGTGGCAGCATTGAAATGTCTTTTGAACCGGTTACTTTCGATGAGGAAGGAAATATAGCAGCACCTGTTTATTTACCGACCACCACATCCGAAAAAGGACTCCCAGATGGATGCTCACCCGAAGAACCGCTTTCCCCGCAATCAAAACGTTCTCGACGCAGACGGATAATGTCCTTGGAATTGCCAGTCTTTTTGCTGCTCCTTGGAATAATGTTAACCGGTCCTGTGATGCTGAATCAGGAGCTTTATCAAACCTGCGTTGCTGTCTATCATTACAATGAGAGTGACTGTGAACCTCTACGGGGCATTATTCCCAAAACGGAAGAGGCGAAGGTGAGTTTTTTTTTGTTTTGTGTTTGATTTTAGATTATTCGATGACGGCAGTAAATTTTTTGTGAAAATCATAAATATGTATTGTACGATTGCGATAGTGCTATTTTTTTTTTTAACTTTTTTTGTTGTTATTTGCTTACCTGGCCGAAGAACAGTGGACAGTTTTATAACTAAAACGCGCATTAAGGTCTTGAAAGTATTTCATAAAGTAAAAGTGTGTAAATGAGATGAAATTGAATGAAATCACGGTTTCGATGATGGAAATGATTAGGGTAACGATTACAGTAAAAGTTAGTTATAGATATTTATAAAAATTACATACAAGTTTTTTTAAACTGATGCACATCAAAACGGTGTGTTCGACCCAGATCAAGTTTCTACACGGGCTAGTCAAAGGCAGATCACTAATAAATACAAAATAACGTTACCTCTCGAGTACCAACAAGACACTTTCGACCTCTGTTTTTGAAGCCATGCAAAGCAAATCTTGAATTAAATGAACCATTCTGTTGTATGACAAACTCTTCGAGACTGCAAACCAAACTGGATGCTCTGGAACCCCCTCCGCTATTTTGGGCGGGTTGAATAATGCATGCCAGCAGTTTCTTTTCTGTGCCAACTGAAGCCAATTGGTGGTGCCAAGTGAAACCAAGTCCTTTGGCCTTTTCCCCGCAGAGAAGGTCTTCCTCTGCAATCACCAGCGGGTACCATGCTGAATACTTTCAGGAGTGGGGCGTTTGTATCAATCCCTACGACATGACCGCATTACAATAATTATGCGCTCTTCAAAAGTTTGTACCAGACCGATTCAGCTCTGCAATTCTTATTATCTTCTCCAGCATCAAATTAAGTAAGTCGGTAGTCGCACTTAAGATTCGATTCGACAGATTCTTCCTGATTCGTCTGAGGCTGGTAGTGCTGCTCAACGTCATTTTACACATCCGCATTAGGCGGGAGCCGCTGTAGCTAAGTGGTTAAGGGTGCGTACTACCACTCGGTTGTTTCTGGGCCAACCGACTTCCAAATTAGGAAAAGTTTTTCTAACAGCGGTCGCGCATCGGCAGGCAATGGCAGTCCTTCCCTTTTGCCGTTCGAAGGTGGCGTAAAGTTATAGATCCCTCCCATAGAAGCCACTTCGCGGAAAATTCCACGATTTTGTTAGGGCTGCAAGTGGAAGCGGCAGCTGCCAGGTTGCCCTTCCTTCTTTTATTAAATCATAATTCCCCCCACTCCGGCCGACTGCCTTATCAAATCGTGGAATTTCCGGGGAGTTGCCTTGCCTGATCCCTCTAGTTGTGTTATAACATCAGGACGCACACGACAAATTGGAGAAGAAGCTCGGCTAAATAGCAAAGGTGTAAGCGCCAAAATATTATTAAAGCCAACGTCTAACCATTTGCAGAGCAAATCATCCTGCTTAGCTTGCCTTTATGGTCGTAAATAGGCGTCTAATGGACAAAAATGCAACTCTAAAACTCAAAATTGAATGCCTCCACTCATTTTTAGATAATCGAAAATCATCTACAACCTTATGTGGCCAAAATTACCATGACTAATTCAATCTTGCACAATGTGTGGCCGGGAATACTTGTACTCTTCGTGGGACCATGGTCAGATAAATTTGGACGGCGACCAGTGTTGTTGATGGCTTTTACAGGTACTTATAAATACATACATACATACAACCATCCAAAAATAACTTTGAAATTTACTTATAAATCAGCACTTTTTCTATCCTAGCCTCCTTTATCGGTCACGTAATAACTACAATTTTGGTTAGCATTTCCAAACTGGTGTCACTTAATCCATGGCTTTACTTAATAGGCAGCATTCCATCCACACTGGCTGGTGGTGGTAGCACAGTGATGACTATTGTCATCTGTTATGTGTCTGATGTAGCCGATATGGAAAATAAAGCAAAGCGGTACGAAATTGACGCTATACATCTACATACTTAGATAGATGATACTTTATATCATTTTTTATGGTTTTCAGGATGTTCTACGTTGATTTGGCTATGGGTACTGGTTTGGTATTTGGTAATGTATTGAGCAGTTACTTGCTGCGTCTGACTGGTGTCACAATGGTGTGCGTCACATCTGCTCTTCTCATCTTAATCGGCTTGCTGTATGTTTTCTTTTTTATTGGTGAAAGTTTAGATGTTGAGAAAACAAGCTTTTCGGTAAGTAAAAATCATTTTTTATTGCTAAATTAAAATTGAAATAACTGTTTTTTTTTTTTTTTATAAGCATAAAGCCAAGCGCTTCTTCGATATCCTACTTATCAAGGACCTTGTGAAAACTTGTGTGGCGCGTCGCCCAAATTATGGACGTGCCATCATTGGTTGTACGATTTCTATTTTAATGGTGTCGAGCTTTGTTCATCGTGAGTATGAAAAGTAGTTAAATAATAAGGCGGTTTCACAAGACATATTAAGCGTCGTAATGTCTTTAAATCGTAAAATTTTTCAAAGTAAAATAACGATTAAATTGGTTTCAGGTATTTCATAATTATATATTTTCTATTAGTTCGGAAATATTTTATGGCTGTTGAAAATCCCCGAAGAACCTTTTAACTGTTATTTTTCATTGAAACATTTTACGACTTTAAAACTTTACGATTTAATATGACTTGTGAATACCCTAATTGTGTGTGTAGTTGTTGTACAAGTATGTAGTTATAATTTGCCATGCTTACCTTGTTCTATATAAAAAACACTTACAGACGGCGAACATGGTGTATTCTACTTATTCTTACGCAACAAATTTAATGTAACATTGCAACAGTACACTTACTTCAATGCTACGCAAATAACAATTAAAATGGTAGGCTGCAGTATTGCAGTTACGGTGTTAAGAAAGGTAAATTATTCCAGCTCTTATCATAAATCTACAATAATACCTATATATGTATACGCAATTTCAGATTTTCAAAATACCCTTTGGCATCATCGCTTTGATGGGTCTAGCCGGACATATGCTGGAATGTCTAACCCGTGCGTTAGCACAGAGCTTTTGGCAGATGTATGTGGCATCGTCCTTTGGAATTTTATCAGGCATTACAACTCCAATGTTGCAAGCAATTATTTCTTTAGCGGTGCCATCAAATGAAATTGGTAAATATTTAAGTGCACAGTGATCGTAAAATCGAAAATTATGCTTTTTGTCATTTTCTAGGCAAAGTCTATTCCTTGGCGGCATGTTTGCAAACACTCTCGCCCTTAATTGCAGCACCTTTATATACTTTCGTATATAGCCACACTCTTCAAACGTTTCCAAGTTTCTTTAATTTTATTAGCTCTGGACTCTATGGGGAGTGCTTTGTTGTAATGATGTAAGTTTTCGAAAGATATTTTCAAATCTGAATGTCTTCGACAACGTCCAACGCTTGTCGCTAAAGGCTTGTTTTCACTATCGCAAGTTCAATGGTATGGGTCGTCGGTTAAGTGAAAACCCCCTATTATAAATGTGCGCGAAGAAGAGCATCCATTTTTTAATGCCAAATTATTAGAGCCTCAGCAAAACCCCAGCGAGTAAATAATAAATTTGACACCAAATATGGCGGCAATTATGTCGTCCAAGTACAATAAAATGGAAACAAGCTTTAAGGCATGCAGAAATTTTGTATACCAAATTATTATTCTAACGATGATACTACTTATATGTACATTAAGTTGGTCCCAAAATACACAAAAAAATCGCATTTTTTTATAAATTTCTTGCGGCCACCTCCCAAAATTATAGAACATGGAAAGAAGAAGCCCATATTTTTTTATTTGAAATCGGCCGAGAGAGCTTTGAATTTTCTCATGTATTTTATAAAAGGAAAGTGCAATTTTTCTAAGATATCTATAAAATCGTTAAAAAAAAAAACAATCTAGAAATCTTCAAAAAAATAATGTTATAATGCAAAATTTTTTCATGACCAATAATATTATATCTCTAAGTAAGATGTGTTGTGGAACGATTTTCCGCCATCCTTTGTCAAATTTGTTTTGGAGACAAACCGGTTACGGCGTTGTGTCGCCTTCAGTGCCTTTTTTCGTTCTTTTCTTATTCTTTTTCGATAAAAACAATACATATTTGGTTTTAACGATTCTATAGCATATAAAATACATAGAAAACTTCCACGCTCTGGCGACACCTTTAAATGTTAAGCAATTTCAAAATAAAATAAAAAATAAGGATCTCCCTATTTTCGATACTTCTCAGTTTTGAGGTGTGGCCGGAAAAAAATGGACCACGCTAATATATGTAGATATATCTCTATACTTAGATATAACTAGGCCTGGGCGACGTTACTGCGCAATACCCTCGGGGTAGCGTTGCGTGTTCGTATACACGAAGTTGAAGGCGAAAATGCAGTGTAATTTAGCGTAGTGAATTTTAGCCGATTCTTTATGAATCAGCAATTATTTTTCACTTTCAACTTCGTGTATACGAAAACGCGACGTTACTGCGACGGTACTGCTTAGTCGGCGTCGCCCAGGCCTGCTCATATGTAATCCATCTGATCTCGAAAAGGCGAATGACAATTTGACTAACACTTTTTTACACAATTTTCTTCTTCTTCTTCTACATCAGCGTGATATGCATTTTCGAACGACGAGTTGCTAACCGACCAAGCCAAGCCGAAGAGGAAAAAGGACAAAAAACGAAAAAATCCCTATCGGAAGAGCCCAAACTGGAAAAACTTTTAGAAAATAATGTTTAAATTAGATTCGAGTATTCGAGTGTTTTTGTGTGTTGCGTGTGTACTCGAAATAAATTTATATTTAAGATACTGAGGAATTAAAAAGATAATTAAATGCACAAATGCAGGGGCAGGAAATGCATAGTAGGTACCGGTTACTTTACAAATATATGTAAATGCAAATATGTACATATACATATTTATATGTAAACATACTGTTAAGATCATAAATTAAGTGAGCTTTTTATATTACGGATCAAAAAAGGGGTGTCATGAAACGGACGAAACTCACACATATCTACTTTTAATGGCAACAAATAAATAATTTAATATCTTTTAAGCTCATTAAGTACTGACAAACACGACGAATGTATATGAAAAAGTTTAGCATAATGAAGTTAAGATTTAATAGATTAGATATATTTAATTGATTTGTTGTTTTTTGCGTTGCATAAACAATTTTTTTTAGTTTATTATATAGTCATTTTAACCTGATTTTAACCTTTCTAATAAAATGTATACCATATTCCGACAACGAAACACTTTGAAAACGAGTTTTCTGGATTGTGGCCTGAAGGCTGTTCGCTCCGGCTGATACCCAAAGTCTATTCAACTTTCCGTTGCATGGGATGGCGCTGCAACAACTACCTCCAAATATTTTATTAGAGATCCTAAATGTATTTAATATGAAATCATATGGCATCCCCCTATAACTACATAAATACACTCTCGATTTCTATTGTTTTAAAGATAGAATATGTGTAGGTTCCGGAAGTTTAATAACATTTACCTTCAACTTTACGCCATATTACGGGCCATATTTAAAATAAATAGGTATGTCAAATATTTCGAGTAAAGCGCCATCCAAAGAGCATATTTTTGTGGCATTCTTGAAATCAATCAACTCCAATTAATAACGGATACATTCTTTATGAAAGTTGCTTTCTAACTTAGCTACAAATTTAATATACAGGACTTGCTTGCCGACGATTGGTAGGGATAACCGCTCCACGCAGGGTTAAATGGCCGAAAAAAACAGCTCTTGTTCGGGAAAAACACAAGACATTCCGTCGCTTAAAACCCGCTGAATGGGAAATGCCTTTTGATGTCCCCCTAACACCATCTGCAGAGTGAAGCCCCAATGGTCCTAGGTAAGGAACACATTTTAATACTAAGCAAGCAAGTTCTGGTCGGCTCTACCGCAATGAGCAACCCAACGGACACTTGCTGGGAGCACACCCTCCTCCCAGGCACGTCAGCAGGCATCCCTATATATTCACGGACCAGATCCAGACATACATACATACGTAAGCCAATCAGTGGACACGAAGATGTACCGACTAACCATAAACGACGTTTCAACTACCACAGGATGCACTCGAAACTCTAAGGTCCGGATACTGTAGCAGACTGAACTCATGTTTATTAAAAAAGCGGTTTTGCTAGGTTTCATAGTTTGTATGGACTTGGGATATTACAGAATTGTGGTTTTAGGTATTTATACTTACATACTTATGTACAACGTACATTGTACATACATATGTATATGTAGTTAGGTCTCTCACGAACGACGTCGTGAGAACTGTTAGGGCCGGTTAATTAATGTTTAGTTAACACTAACTGTAGTTTAAACATCGTTATCGACCCCATAGCAAATAAGCAAATAGGGAGTCGATAACGTCGGTAACTGTGTTTAACCTCTGATTAGTAATAACCAAACATTGAGTAACCGGACCTTAGTTTAATACGTTCATATAAAAATCATGGAATTGGGCCGGTTTTTCAATGTCTGGTTAACACAAATCGTAAGTAGAAGCTCCGATTGAACACAATGACGACTTTATCGATCACATGTTTTATAAATGATGTCGAAAACGTCGATAATGATGTTTAACCGGGAGGTAGTGATAACCAGACATTGATAAACAGGACCTAGGTATTTTGCACATCCGGTAGATAATTGAATCTTAAAATAAAAAACACACATCAAAAATATTCGAATATCTCACGCAAAGTCATGCAAGCTAAATAGTTAGAAATCAAATTCAGATTGGAGAGTATGACGCTTAAACCACCAAATATAAACTTGTAAGCACTTACTTAAATGCGTGCATAAATATGCATGTAGGTGCCTGCCCACCTTTACTTTAAGACTGGTTTTCACTATGTCAGAACATTTGACAACAAATTTTGTCAACATATTTTTGACACCACTTCATCTCATTTTCCCATACCTTTATATATTATGGGCCAAAAACAGACAGATAGCCAGTCAATCGATAAACCGGTTTTAAGTTTCATTAGACAATGTGTTTTCACTTATTTGATGACAAATGGCACTGAATTTGACATAGTGAAAACCAGGCATTATACACTTTGACATATTATTGCTGCAGGATTGTATAAACTAAAAAAGTGAAGTGTATGAACTAAAGGTGGGCAGGGTAGTATAGTATATATGTACATATGTAGTACAAACACCTGTTATCGGGCATAATTATCTGGGTCTAATTATCCAATGAGAGAGTTTAATGTCTGTAAAGAGTCACTTCACTAGTCAGTTTGTTTTTAAATATATTCGTTATTAGAAGTCCACCGATAGTGCGCAAAATTCCAAACAAAGCAAGTGAGCGAATTTAGCGAACACTCGACAATTTTAATCTTCAATCAAAATTACGCATAAATGTTTATAAACTCGCTATAAAAACATAGCTACATACATACATATATGTATACATATGTGTGGAGATACAGCGGTAAACAAATTAAATCATTAACCAACACAATTTAACGGCAGCAAACGGTGAGGAAAAAAAAAAATGTAAATACTACTTACATACATATATTTCATGTTAGTTTGGCTTTGTTTGAAAATCAACAAACCACCTTTAACCCCGATAAGTGAGAAGTCTTCAAAATGGTGGAGCAAGATGAAAAACGCATACTGGAGACTCCATCAATTGCCAGCACTGACACATCCTTCGATCCTGAGGTGCTCATCTCAAACGCTACATACGCTACGACGTCGACTACAAACGATGGAACGCCACTTCCAGCCGATGCATCCTCGCCGGAAGAACCACTTGCGCCGCAGCCGAGGCGTCCTTTGCGCAGACGCATTATGTCCTTAGAATTGCCAGTTTTTTTACTTTTTCTTGCTATAATGATATCCGGTCCTGTGATGCTGAACCAGGAGCTCTATCAAACCTGTGTTGCCGTCTACCATTACAATGAGAGTGCCTGTGAGCCTTTGCGTGGAATCATTCCCAAGACGGAGGAGGCGAAGGTGAGTGTGGGAATGTGATAAGTGTTCAACGAGTATTGCGATAACAACAATACTGATAACGATGAATAAATATGTATGTGCATATATAAACAGATAAAACATTCATTAATATGTGAATTTAATTAAACTCTGTTTCTTACAAAGTAGCCTATTTCACATCAAAGCCCAATCCATTATGTATATATATTTTTTTCTTTAATTAAATATTACAAAAAAAAATAATAATAATTACGACTTGACGTTGTATCGACGAAATGGAGGGATCATTTTCATACCCAATTAGAATGTTTTGTTTTATTTGGCATGCAGTAATAGACTTTATTTTCGTTGCTGTATTCTATGCTTAAACAATCAATTAAGGAAATAATGATAAATCAATTAAAATCTCATACATACATATGTACAGTGGCGGATTTATCGTACAGGCAACATAGGCTGAAGCCTAGGGCGGCAGAATTAAGGGGCGGCAAAATTTAAGACAGCTAAATTAAAAGAAAAAAATTTAAAAAATGAAATGGTCTTTTTCAAGGCATACTGCACCGAAAAGAAGATTTTAAATTATTCTCCTCTGGAACTGTTGAAAATGCTGAGACAGGATAATCTGCAGATCTCTTACCCTAATGTTGAAATTGCGTTGCGGATGTTTGTTTCAATTCCTATTTCCAATTGTAGCGCAGAAAGATCGTTTTCTGTTTTAAAACGCGTGAAAAACTATCTCAGATCTTCATTGAGCGAAAACAAACTGAATGCTCTTGCGTTGCTGACTATAGAGTCAGATTTGTTTCTATCTATCGATTGTGAAGATATTATCGGCGAATTCGCAGCTGAAAAATCAAGACGTAAAGAACTGTGAAAAAGAAGTGTTTGAAAGAGGGTTTTTGTTGAATACCTTATCCATGCTGATGTCGAATTTGTTAATTCCGTTATGTATTTCATTATTAACGAACTATATTGTAATAAAGCACTGACAATAACAATCATATTTGATATATATATATATATATTTTTTTCGTGAAAAAAGGGCGGCAAGTTATGAATTGCCTAGGGGCGGCAAATATTTAAATCCGCCACTGCATATGTAACTATTTTGCATGTTTCTACAATTATCTAGATTTGGAAAATACAGGTTGGGGATTTACAAAGCGTCCAACCACAATTTATCTTACTACGGAAAGCGAAAACATTTAAACTAAAGGAGATATTGCCTTCTCGTTTCTGCAGTATTGTCGAAGTACTGAACTTACACTAGAGATGGGCGCGGGATATCGGGACCAACGGTATTAATTTCCAAATGGCCTTGACAGGCAATATAGGGTTGCTTTTAAACATTTTCCGGCGTGACGGAAAGCAATCCTTTCCCGACACTCCCGATAAAGCCTGCCATTTGTGTAGAAAATCTTCCTTAAAAAAGTTACGTATATGAAGTTGGCATTTATTTAAAGTTATATTTAAGGGATTCACAAAGAGCCTTAAGCGTCTTAATGTCTTGAAGTCGTAAACTTTTGCAATCTAAAATAACGGTTAGCGCCAATCGAGCTAAAAGCAACTGGGTGTGACGTTACAATATTCCGAGAATGAGAGAGTAAAGAATAGTTTTGAAGAAGAAGAAGAAGAGGAAGAAGCGAATATGTGGTGCGAAATAGTGATGTAGAACTAGGTAACATTGTACCCACTCTTTAACCCATTAAATTTGAACGTATACACGGTATAAGCACGTTATTTGAGGTACATTTGGAACATAGCCAAACGACTTATCGGCAAATTTTCTCCTATTTTCCAAGGCATTTCAGCGAGTTTTCCAGTATGGGAATTCCAAAAGCCTTCCCTCCTTGTAAAGGGGCGTAAACATTGGTTAAAACAAGGGATGTTGCGGATGCGGAATTTTAGACATCCGCGGATGCGAATGCGGATGCGAATATCTAATTAGATTAGATTAGATAATTAAAAAAACAAATAGAATCTAGCATAATGGCGAGATCGTTGTTTAAACAGCGCTTACAAGCCAAACCAGCTCCATATGTCATGTTGTTTCAGAATTTGGAGAACCTGTAACTTTATCAGCACTTTTTGATTTTAGTTTTTGTAATTAATTTTTAATACTTTCTTCTGCGACTGCTTTGAAAAATTTGTGCTTATAGCGAGCAAAATAGGTTGATATGGAAAATAGATTATTATTTTTGAACAAAATTCTGTTTTCAAAGTCATGGCTGCCAGCCGAATCGCATTTTTGTTTTTTTTTTTTTTTTTTAAAGCACCCCGTTTTTTATAAGCATTTGAACAACAGATAGTTACGTAATTCTTATCTAATTAAAGGTCAGACCTATAGTTTTTTTAATTATTTGAGCATCGATTTTCTTTATAGCTAGACGTTGATCATTTATACTGGAAATCCCTATTGAAGGAGCTTACTCATTGACTTTAAATAGCAAAGAAGGGACAGTTTTATCACAGAAGTTTTTAGCCAAGGATCCAATGTATATCCCTATGAAAAAACTATTATCCAACAAGTAAACAAAACTACTATTTTTTAAATTTTTGCTAAAAATAAATTCCACAAAGAGCCCCATTTGAAATTATTCAAACGAATAAATGTAGTAGGTGGCATACGCGGTACGTCTGACTCGCGAGTCATTTGTGTACATGTTGACTCGCCTTCGGCTACACACACTTGAATCATTCAGAGTCATGGCGGGAGTCATGTTGGTGTAACTAACACATATTTATTTTCACAAAAACATCCAAACCCGACTCACTCAGTCAGACGCACCGTGTATGTCGCCTATAACATCACACGCAAATCACGAAAATTTTGTTAAGAATTACAGTGCACACTTTCTTCTTTTGCGTCTAGTAGTTTTTTTAAGATTGGTCCAAAAAAATCATAATAAAGAAAGAAGCCAAAGCAGGTATTTAAAGCAAAGAAAAAAAAAATTATTAAAAGGACTATGTTCTCTTTGACGTACAGTGACGAGCAAAACTGTAACATGATGTAACACTTTTTATTTCAGCCACCGCTATCTTTCATAGTTTGAACGACTTTCATACTTTTGTTGTATATTCTTATTGGTACACCCGTACTCCCGCTCTCATAACGATTTGAGGTCAATCCAACAACAATAAAAAAACCTGGAGACAAAAATGTAAGTTAAGGCAAATGTTACAGTTTTGCACTCACTCTCAGTTTTGCATTATACGTTATCTTTTGCTTAGTTGGAAGTCAGATGACTTTTTTCTGTATTGTAATTTATTCAAGAAGTGATCACCAATAAATAATATGGTTAATCAGGAAACATAAATGTAAATAATAGATTTACTGCGAAAAGGCGGGACCGCAGGGAAAGTGGCAAAAAATTGTGGAGTTTGCCACATGAAAATGTTAAGACTGAGAAAAAATATAGCCTAAAGTGTTACTAAGGACAAAGGAAGTCTGTCAAAATATATTACAGTCCGATATCTTGTAAACTTAGTAGCAAGTAGCGCTGCAGCCACTACTACAGAAGCGCTTAAGGTATTAAAATTGAATGCAAATGATTAGACAGTGAGGCGAAGAATTGCCAAATTGAGCGCAAAGGCATCATAAAGAAGAAAAAAGCAAATTTGATCAAAATACATGTGCGAGTGTGGCAGCGTTTTGCTGCATCGCACGAAAACCGGACCGTTGCCTATTGGGATATGTTAGGCCTTACAGAATTCAATAAAAAACAAATTTGTAAGATTTAATTGAGGGTTATTTGGTCTGACAAGACAAAATTAATCGCTTTCAATCAGATGGCCGGGCATGGTATTGTATCAAAGGCCCGAATTACGCCTAAGCGCATCATGTATGGCAAACTGTGAATCACAGCGGTCGGTCAATATTAGTTTGAGGTTGTATTTCAAAAATGTTGTTGATCCGTTTGTACGCATTATGCGTAAGGAACAGGATCTGCTCATATTTCAACAAAATTTGCAAGATGTAGTCGAAAAAATTAGAGTTTCTGCTGAAAAAGCAACCAAAACTCACTGCACATGTTCGCAAAGACTGGAACAAAAGCAGAAATTTGCTAATTTGAAATGACCTCCACAATCCGAGGACATGAATCTCATCGAGAATTTGCGAAATCAACTAAAAGCGCATCTTACTAAGTATCCAAGTCCGTCCAATGGAGTACATGAGCTGTGAAAGTACACCAAGGATATATGGGAGGCTATACCTCCAGAATTTTTACAGACATACACATTAGGTATGCCAAATTGCAACCAGGAACTAAATAAAGCAAAAGCCTACTGAACATTGTGTTAATAATTCTTTTTTTTTTGTGAAAATTGTCAAAAAGTTATTAAAAATATATGAGTGCAAAACTGTAACATTTGCCTTAATTTACATTTTTGTCTGCTGGTTTTGTTAATGTTGTTGAATTGACTTCAAATCGTTATGACAGAGGAAGCAAAGATGTACCAATAAAAATATACAACAACAGTATGAATGTCGTTACAACTTGGAAAGATAGCGACAGCTGAAATAAAAAGTGTTACTCCATGTTACAGTTTTGATCGTCACTGTACGTCAAAGGTGAAGTAGAAGTGGGAACTTTTATGACTGCCCATTGATAACTCGGTTATATAGCTTAAGAAATAATATTTTAAAGACATTTTTATCAAAGTTGATACATATGACATTTGACCAGTTTTGTTACACAAATACTCCTACGACCACAGACAAAAATATTGGCTACAATATCTAATTATTTTTTTGCCATATATACGTTTTATCGGTCCACTTGCACAATATTCGCATTCGCAAAAGCTCCGCATTGTTTATTGCGAGTGCGAATGTTAAAATTAATGCGGAAGCTCCGCGGTTGCGAATGCGAATGCGAATATTCGCAATAACCCTGGTTAAAGCATAGGTTTGGCTTCAACTGCTCGGAGAAATTCCTTTCAAGGCCATTTTAATAGAACAGATTGTTTGATGTAAGTCCAGAAGAAGATATGGCACCGAAGGAAGAAGTAACTAGTCCACCACTCATCGAAAAATTATGCAAAAGAAAACATATATCCACTTTTTAGGTACGTTTATCCACTTTTAGGTACAACTTTTCGCCAAATAGGTGCCATATTAAAATTTAATATTAATCACTAGTGCGAAAAAAATACTGTGATGTCAGCGAAAAGGTGGTGGTGGCTGTCAAACCGACAATGAAAAAATTTGCGGTCCACGGAAGGCGAAACCTTTGTTTCGCTGCACCGTTAATGTAATCCGGTTCTGCATCGATTAACGAGTTATTCAAAAGCCAGCAAAATGAAAAATACAGTGGCCATAAATTGAAGAAAAACGCAGTAAAAATGTTTTAAATAGACTCAATTATTGCGGATGATATTGATAAGGATTTATAATATGAGAAAATCTCGAATCATGCAATTTGATATAATTGTTTTATTTTAGTGATTACACATTCCGGCAGATACAGCTTCTAAAACGGGTAGGGGTAATTCTTGAAAATTCTGCAGTACGTCAGGACTTCTGCAAATTTTAGGTTAAATTGTTAAGAACGCCAATTTTACGAGTAAGGAAATTTTTTTAATTTCCCACAAAAGGATAGCATAGTACTACTCTCCATTTTCCCCGATTTATTTTATAATTAAAAAAAAACATAAAGAACAATCAAAAATAACTCCAACGTGTATATTTGCATGACTAAAAGTTTGAATTCAAAATTTTACATCTTTTTTAAATGTTGGATGATTTGGGAATATGTATTTTAAAGCTGAACAGTAGTACTATCTATCCTTTTGCAGAAAATTAAAAAAGAAAATCCATACCCGAATAAAATCTTGACTACTGGAGAATTTTCAAGGTCAGATTTGTTTTTCAGCGCAAACAAGTTTTCAATAATCACCCCTAGCCATTCTTAAGACGGGAAAAAAAGTGAAATTTCGCAGATCTGATATATTATTGTTCTAATTTTGTTTCATTGCATATGTATGTTTTAAATTATTTAAATTTAATTCCCTTTTTATTAAATATTATTTTATTCTATTTTGCTTTTATTTTATTTTACATTCATTCTTTTTATTTTCAGGTAATGCTAAATAATGTATGGCCCGGCATTGTTGTTCTGTTCATAGGGCCTTGGTCGGATAAATTTGGACGACGACCGGTGCTATTGGTGACATATGCTGGTATGTATGTATGTACGACCTGCACAATTATATATATAGTTGATATGTGTTTTTTTGGCATAGCTTCATTTATTGGTTACATTTTAACTGCAACATTGGTAAGCGTTTCTGAAACGCTGTCGCTGAACCCTTGGTTCTACTTGCTAGGAGGCATTCCATTCACGATAGTTGGCGGAGGTACCGCAATGATGACTATCGTCTTCTGCTATATATCTGATGTATCCGATATGGAGAGCAAAGCTAAGCGGTAGGACTAAGTTGAAACATCAGATTTGGGATTTAATTTGGGTATTCGTTATTCCTTTAAGAATGTTCTATATTGATATGACAATGGGTCTGGGTGTAGTGGCTGGCAATGTATTGGGCAGTTACTTGTTGCGCTTGACTAGTGTTACCGTGATATGTGCGGCGTCCGCTGTGCTTGTCTTAAGCGCCTTACTGTACGTCTTCTTTTTTATTGGCGAAAGCTTAGATGTTGAAGAAGCCAGTTTTTCGGTAAGTGAAATGCGGTTTTTATTTTATTAATTTCTTTCAGTTCATTTTTAATTTAGCACAAGGCCCGCAACTTCTTCGATATTGGACTTATCAAGGCGCTCGTGCGGGCATGTGTGGCGCGTCGTCCAAATTATGGTCGCGCCATTATTGGTTGTACAAACTCCATTTCAGTAGTTATGAATTTCATAATGTGTGAGTATTAAATAAGTATTTTCCATGGTGGAATAATAACAAGGTGTTGTCAGTAGCAACGTGTTTGTTGTGATTTTGACAAGATCGGCATGCTTATTTTCAGTGCTGCCGATCTTAATTTTTATACTACTATTCGTTGGGAAATAGTATCTAAAATACTCCATTTTAGTAATTCGTTTTATCGCGATTTTTAAAGAACTTGGTGTTTTCAGAACAATATTAATATTTAAAATTGCTGGATCTGTATAATTTTTGTCCTCAAAAAGTAGAAAAATAAAAGATATCGTGGTTATCAATGGAAAAAAAACGTACACAAAAATCGTATGGAAAGGCGCTCTTTTATATTAAATAACTTTTGCTGCATTGTCATAATATTGAGCCAAATGAACTACTGATACACTAGAATAGAGTGGCTGCATGGTTAAATTAGGAATTCGCTTATATTATCGATATTTATGTGTTTTAATCTACTTAGAAAATCATTTACAGTCTTATAGGAAATTGCCTTATTTTACGGCTTTTATTTTTTTAAAGTTACAATATATGTCCAAGCTGTGTGGAGCTGCCGATACAAACATATATTCAGGCTTATAAGCCTGTAATTATACATTTTTCTACATTTAATTTGAAATAGTATGCACCAACGGATTAAAGGTAGTAAATAATTAGTACCTTTTCTAGTACTTTAAAATGCGTGACCGGAATAGACCTGCCGAAAAAGTGAGGTTAAGTTACTGACAACACCTTGTTATTATTACACCATGAGTATTTTCTACATATCGTCTCCTTGACGACAAAAAGACGTAACAACATCGCAACTGAAATTGAAAAAGTCTTGACTAACATTTTTATAAATTTTTTTCATAAAATTATGTGGGAATTGTAATTCGATGGGCGCGTTTCTAAGACGTAGCTGTTGCTAAACTTTTGAGTGTTTGTTTCAGAAACGCACAGTTGAGTAGTTCCGCTCAGCTCAACGGTTGGCACCGTTACGCCATTTTTTCCATCATAAAATAATTTCGCTACATGGAGTCAACAATTTATATAAGGCGAAACTGGCTGCTAATAAAATAAAATGCACGTACATTTAATTTTGCTTGTTTACAAATGTTTTGGCAGTTAATGTATCATCCCGTTTCTAAGATGTAACTGTTGAACTCAACAGTTGACAGCATTTCAGCAACAGTTGAGGTAAACAGTTGCGTCTTAGAAACGCGCCCGATGAAATCCATCATAAAAATCGAAAAGTGAATTTTGAATTTTTTATTAGTTATTTATGTACGTACATATATCAACATACTTGACGCTCAAACATATATTATGTAATATATGCACTTTTTTTTCAGCTGGGGAAATTAGCATCTTCTATTTGTTCTTGCGTAACAAATTCAATGTAACATTACAACAGTTCACCTACTATAATGCCGCTGCGATAACAATTAAAATGCTGGGATGTGGTGTTGCCTTTGGAATATTCAGAAAAGTAAGTACTTAAATGATACGTCAATGGTTTCGCTAATTGCAGCATCTGCAATGTCTACATCGTCTTCTTCAGCTCTTCAAAGTATCATTCGCCATGGTAGCGATCATTGGACTCGCTGGTTGCATTTTCGACAGTTTAACTCGTGCACTGGCGCAGAGCTTCTGGCAAATGTATATGGCATCCGGCTTTGGTTTTATGTCAGGCATCACGGCTCCCATGTTGCAGGCAATTATTTCGTTTGCAGTGCCATCAAATGAAATTGGTACAAAAACATTGGCTTAAAAACAAACAAACAAACAAAAAGAAATGCGGAAACTAAGTAAACTCATTATGTGCTAATATTTTAGGCAAAGTCTTTTCTCTATCATCATGCGTGAATACGCTCACACCATTGGCTGCTGCCCCTTTATATACGCTGGTCTATAATCACACACTTAACATTTATCCTGGCTTATTTAATTTTATCAGCGTAGGACTGTACGTGGAGTGCATCGTTGTTATGATGTAAGTTTGAAAATCATTCGTAAATATGGCATATAAATACATATAAACCCATTTATTAATCCTCGTCCAAATATGGCATGAATTTTTTATTATTTCACCACAACAGTTTAGTATACATCTGCCAGCGACGAATTGCCAACAGATCCAACGCGCTTGAATCGGGGAGCGAAACGGAAGAATCTCAAATAAGAAATATTCCTACCGAAACAGCTCAGCCAGCAAGGACATCTTGAAGAAAAAGCAACAATCTGATATCTTTATTTTGCCAAACAGTTTTTTTTTTAGAATTAGGTTAGAAAATTTCTACTTTTATGTGATCATAAAAATAGTAGCGCCGAGGTGTATAAATGAGTAATCTCATATGAGGCATTGAGTGCCAGAGTAGTTTAACTGACATTTGAAACAAGTAGTTTTTAAGCAAAAAACAAAACCGACTTCAAGTCAAAGATTAATTTCTTCATGATCCAATGATCCGATTTAAGCAAATTAGTATGGGACCACCTATGAGGTAACAGCTTTCCTTTAAAAAAATTATAAAATTATAAAAAGAATTATAGAGATCGGTTAGCGTGGACCAAGGTTATGCGGTAACATACACACAAAAAAAAAATATTCCGATGAATTGATAACCTTCTCCTTTCTTCAAAATACCACACTTCAGCACAGTGAGGGTCGGGGGGCTTAGGTTTTTATCACGTAGTCAATGTCCTCTAAGGAAATCTAGCGTTTTTTTTTCGAGATACATTCAAATATGGCGCGTAGTGTTTGGCGCTTTTTAAACTCAAGGGACTTTTGTTTCTATAAATTAAATTCTAGTTACGATATATTTTGACATAAGTTGTATATTGATAATATTTTTTCCACTTGTAATTATAGGTATGCATGCACTATTGCCGTCACGCAACGAGCGCCGTCCGTATTAATAAAGACAAATTCATATGTATGTATAAACCAAAAAAAATTTTTTTTTTTTTTAATTTTTGTTACCCACCAAACAATTTTTGTTGCTGGCAATAAGAAAACGTGTCGCCTTCGGAAAACTTGGAAAAAGTTCCCTTATATTTTCTATATATATTTATATTTAATTTTTTATTTTATTTATTTATGTATATTTCACATGGCACACTATGATTAAAAAAACACATAACAACAAAATACACTCAAATATTGTTTTTGCTCTGTTTAAGATGCCTTGGCTCATACTAAAAAAAAAAAAAACAGACAAATCTTGTTTTGCATATTAACTATGTATACCCTAAGAGACTTAGATAACCGTGGAATTGAATTTGTACCTAAAGAGTACAACCTTCCAAATGTCCCACAACTGAGGCGAATTGAAACTTTTTGGACAAATTTGAAAAGGTGTGTTTACGGCAAATGATACACCGCAAAAAAAATACCACTTAATTAGTTAATAAAATCAAAAAGGAGCTTAAGGGCATCGATACAAAAGGAATTCAATGAGGAAATTGCTGGCAAAAATAAGAAAAGCAACCCGTAATGGATCAAATATATTTTGCAAATTAAAGTAAAGTTAAGTAAATTTTACGTTTCTTCTGATTTCATTCACCATACGTTAAGTTAATGAAATTCGATTTCCATATAGATGGAAATCCTTTCTCAAGTATTTTCAAACTGAAATCTTCTTAAATCTTTTTCATCTAGCATTGTGATACATAGTTCAATTAACTGATAAATTAGGTTGAATTTGATTTTTCAATCACGAAGCAACCGCCCTATATAAATATAAATAAATATGTATGTCGATTGATCTCCATATCTTAAGAATTCATTTAAATTATTAAATTATTTGAATGTAACTTTTAAAATACGTGACAACCCTCCTAAATACAGACATTTTAGAAATAAAGCCTTTTCAACCCCATTACGATGGATATCGATCTTTTAATAATTAATATAACCCACTAAATAGTTTGAATGTAATTTTCCAGCACGTGGAAATCCCTCTCGAACACTATAAATGTTAAAACTTCAGATTTCTTAACACTCTTTCGTTTAACATCCATATTTCCATATTTCATATAACTTGTATAAATATAAGAGTTTATAAGTTTCTTATATAATAGGTTAATAAGTTATATTTACTTTATACTTTACTTTACTTTACTTTACTTTATAAGTTATTATATAAGTATTATTTATAAGTCATTATACATATATCCGCACTCGAATGTTGGCCGATGTACTTTCAACGTACTGCATATATGATGCCACCAAATTAAAAAAATTACAATGAGTAAAAGATGACTATGATTTGAGAAACTAACTACCTTAATGCTTACTTAGTCTAGACTTTATTTCCGTAACTTAACTTAATATTTTGACCAACCCGTTATATGAGAAAGTGTTACTACGTTTATGCATAAGCCAATTCACGAAATTATTTCATGAATTTGGGTCAGAATTGGCAACATAAACACAATTTCGTGAACTCAATTATCTATACAGGAAAATTAACCATGAGTTTCACGTGAGTATACGTTACATACGCAACTACGGATATATGAACATGAGTGTTCATAATTAGTCTGTTCCAATAGCAGTCCGCTTTACAGGCAGTGTGACCGTTTTGATCCAAGTGCATCAAAACTGATACATTTTTCGATGAATTTTAGGGAGATACTTTTTTTTTTCAATTTTGATACTTCTCCAAATACAAATTAAAAAAATCTGTAAATTTTTATGCATTACAAAACATGTCGGGCGCCTGTGGCAACGTACATCCAAAAGTTCATTGTCGTTCTCTGAACGAACCTTTCATGGTCTAGCGCTGCATTTTTTATTTTCGCTATGTTCAATAACAAAAATTAGGGCTTGGTACTCGGCAATTCGGTGCTCGGTAAGGCCCTGTTTCCACAGGAAAACACCAATGTCGTGATAACCATGTCACAAAATATATTTCCAATGGATGCCGCCTTATTGCTTGACATCTATTGCAGGCAATTTGATAGTTTGACAGCCATATTTTCACTTCATAGAAAGCGTGCTGGTGGTTATATCAATGAAAAATTAATATTAAATCAAAATAAGAATCTATACCCTATTGGATTATTTA